ACACACAAACAAACAAAAGATTTTAACTTTTGATTTAGAATAAAGGGTGAAGTGTGAAAGTTTTAAAATGTAAAAAAAGAAGAAATAAGAAAACCACAGTAGAACGTGCAAATATGAGTTTGCCATTTAATTGTTCCCTATCACTTGATGTGATGCATATCAAATGGTTATCTCACATTAGTAGTATTATTTTTATAAGTCTGATACAATCCCCCAGCAGCTGAACAGTGTGAACAGAGCTGAAGCAAAGCCTGAATGTATAGGTGCCCATTTCTTACCCAAAAGATATTGAGTAGAAAATGATGAGAAGAGGGATACTCCTGGATCTGAAAGGGCTCTGAAATATCTTTTTAATGGGAGCCAAAGCCTGCAAGTTAACAAGAAAATTATTCATAAGTAAACCAACAAAAAACAAAGGAAATGCCTAAACTGCTCATGCACTGTCAGTGTTTTCACATTTACTCAATAGCTTAACAAACAAAAGCTCTTTTCCTTTTTGTTATATATACAGTTTGGTCCAAGTGGATACTATTAACCAAATAATCACAACTTGACTGAAGTCAAGATTTCAACCTTAATTCAAGGGGTTCACAGAAGTGTTATATTAACTGTTTAGGAATTAAGCCATTTTTATACAAAGTCCCTCGTTTTCAGATGCATAAAGCAATTGAACAATTTACTGCTGTGCAGTTTTATTGCCAGATAAGGCTTGTTCCCTCATTTTTCCGTGACTAATTGAGCAGATAAACCATCCGCTAACTGTTCAAGGTAACGCTCAATGTCAATTCCAAAGAGAGGTCTTTGAAAGTGAAGGCAGGGATCACTGGACTAAAAAAAAGACAAAAAAAGACAAAGCAAAATAAACCTATTGAAAAGATGGCACAAATTTACGAGTGGCCAAATGAACAATCTGGTGCATTGTTAATTCACTGAACAAAAAGCCGGGAAAAATGACAGAAAACAAATCAAGTGAAGGACGACACAACAGCTAACCAAGTCAAGAACACTCTCAAGAAGTTAGGCATAATTTTCATATGTACGAAAAAGGATGCCGTCATTAACATAAACACAGAGGGTGTACAACAAGGTGCAAAGCACAGGTTACGCTCAAGAACTCAAGGCCATAAATGGGACATTCTTCAGTGGCCAGGTCAGCCACCTGATGTTAGCCTAGAACTGCATAATTTACAGTTACTGAAGACAAAAGTGAAGGCACAAATACCAACAAACAAGCAGCAACAGCAATCACTGACTATAAAGTATTTTCATTAAAATATTAGAAACACCCCCCCATGTTACTTTCATCCCACTGAAATTCCCAGATGTATATAAAATGTGTTTTTAATTCCTAAAGTTAATGGAATATTTTTGTTAAACACTTGAATTAAAAATGCTTCACTTAAATCACATCTTGGTGTACAGAGGCCAAATGATTAAAAAAATGCACTTTCCAAAGCCCAGAGCTGTGTTCATAAAACATTTTGGGTACCTGAAATGATTTGTCAAATTAATTTACAACTATTTCTGGTAATTTTTCAAATCAAAACACAAAACAATCGTCACACGGGAGGATTGTTTTGTGTTTTGCTACTTTTCTCTCCTTTTTAAAATCTTTCAGGATCGAGTATCTTATACTCATATTTTACCATTTTCAGCCATTCTTTTTTAAAATAAACAAAACCCTAAATCTTGAAACCAGTACTACCAGACATTCTAAAAATCAGTTAAACTATTAATAATAACAACAAATTACCTCACCTTTTTCAAAATATTTGCAAGACGTTCTTTACTTGAACCCAAGCTTCTGCTCTTGTCTTTGTCACCTTTTTGGGTAGAACTTGTATGCAAACCAAATTCCTACAAAAGGGTTCAGAGGACAGTTGTTACACTTACAGTACTTTTATACAATTGCATGAAGGAAGGAAATGTTGACTGATGACTGATGTTTCGTAAAGGCAAGCAAGGCAAGCAGTGCTTGCCCAGTGAGATCTAAAAATACACATTAGAGTACATTATAGTACTTGCTATTGTCAGCTAATTCTAAACATTTTTTAAACATAACTATAGAAGCGCTAACATTTCACAATTTTCAGCCAGGAAGGAGTTCAGACAGGTGAAGATGCCATTGTTTCTGCTCACCTTCCTGTAAAAGTCACTGCTTGCTACTGATTCAACAAAACTGTAGAATACCACATGTGGAATATAAACACACACGGTAGCTTTCACTTCTCTTTGATTTCACCTTATCTTTGTCAGTTGCATCACTTTTGCTTTGCTTTTTGTCGACTCAAGTTGGTTTTATTTTTGTTTAAAAAAAATTATTAGATATGTGCAGCAAAAATTAAACATATAGTAGTATACTTATTTCATACCGGAAGAGCCTTTTCTTTTCCTTTCATGTTCAGCTTAAACATCAATCTGAAAACCTGGATTGCTTCTTTCTCACGGTTAGCCTGGAAAAGACAGAACACAAAAAATCATCCTAAAGACAACTCAGAAGTAAAAGCATCCAAGCAACACAAACATTATTTTGGTCTTTCAATACCTCCATGAGGAACTTGGGGCTTTCAGGCATGAACAGCTTGAAAATGAGTGCCGACGAGATGCTGGGAACGGAGCACAGCACCACAAACACCCGCCAGCTCTTGAAGTCCAGTGCTCCCAGAAAAAATTGTACCCAGGTTCTGGGGATCACCAGCCAGGCCAAACCTGCAGACAAAGGCAAACACAGATGGTCAATATTTCACAAAAAAAAAAAACAACTACAGTTTATTTTAAGAGAAGTTGAGTTTAACACCTTGTGCAAGTCTGTGCAAAATTTTAAACACCAAAACCAAAAACCCGGTAACACACACCACTGAGTATGTGCTATTTTTTTCTGAAATCCTCAAGAAGCAACATCAGGAACTTAAAAGAAAATCAAGCTGACAAAGAAATACCAAAAAAAAAACTGCAGTTAACTTGAGTCTAGCTTAACTCCCATGTTAAAATTTCAAACTTTATAGAATTTAAAATCTTCTAAGCCTGCAGTTTCTGCCTTCAAAACAGTCGTCTCAAAAGTGAATTTTATTATAACTCATTCACCTGTAAACTGCAGTTAGGGGTGTGGTCACTTTGAATTCAATTCAATTCGCACCAACTACTACAGACCCACTATGAGGAAGCACTTGGCGACAGTAGGGAGGAAAAGCTTCCTTTTAACAGGAAGGAACACTGATAAGTGCCACGACACAGGAAGCTGTTGTCACTGTCTAAGCCTCACTTTTTGAGTTACTGAACTGAACTCCTGGATTGTATTTGTGCTCTTGGAGCCTTTTGGTGCATTTAAATTGAATTCTTGTTTAGTGGCCTGTTCAAGACGTTTGTACTTCAGTTTTGGTGAGTGAAACTTGAGTATTTTCTGGTCTTTTACATAGCAATGTTTAGCACTACCCAGTCTCTTTGGACTTGCATATTGCAACATATGCAACATGGTAACTAAGCTTGCTAGCATTAGGTAATACCTTACACTCCACCGTTCATTCAAATATAATAGCATCTCGCTAAAACCCACATGGAGGGGATTAAAATGCTAAAATGTTAAAATGGGGCATAACCACAGTTATATAAATTTTTTATATGGAGAATACTCCTTGCTCCCACCTGCAGCCAGGATGTTTCCTGCCATCCAAAAGGTGGCCAGACAACTGATCATCGCACCTCTCCTCAGCCGGGGCATAAACTCTGAGAAGTAGGAGAAAATGACAGGAAGTGACCCGCCGACCCTGCAGAGGAGAACAGCATGGTGTTTATTCTTTAGCTGTTTTAGTTGTTTAACAAAGACAATTTAGATGGTTTTTAAATACAGCGTGGAGGGATGCTGCATGTCTTGTGCTATATTTGGGTATTTCAAAAATGATGACACTGAATAAAATCAAACCAGTCAATTACTAATCTGACTGAACTTTGTGCCCCAATAGGGGCATTTTTGTCCTCTAATGACACCAGAGGTACATTTAAAACAACTAAAAGAAGGATGCAGCTTCCCAATGTGGAACTGCCCTAAACTTGAATGTTTTTTTAATAGCCAACAGAAGGCAACTCTTCTGGTTGCAGTATATATGAAAACTGCCCTCTGTCATTAAGATTTTTTTCCCAAAATGCCCTCCACAAAATAAATATTAGGCATTGTAGCAATACAAGTCACATCGTAACTTTTAACATCACCGCCTGATGTCAAAACCACACCACCTATGTCCCCTATAGATTCTAAAATTATCACTTAAATTCATGAATTACCACCATTATAAAACCATTTTACAACAAATATTCATACTTTGCACAAATCAGTGACATATAATATTCTAAACTAGCAACATTACAATATATACAAATCACATATGAAAACAAATCTACTCAAAAGTGGATATGAGTACAAGTTCATAATTCAGTCCTTCAAGTGACAATGTCTGCAAAGTGAAGTATAACTGGTATTATTCACTAATATTGTGGCCCTGGGAACAGTTGAATGTGTGTTAGCAAAATGTAAACTTGTACAGAAAAAAAGAATTAAAAATCATGTTTTTACCCAATGCCACTGATGAACCGCATCAACAGGAAGAGCCAGAACCATGGAGCCAAGCTAGCCAGACCCCCAAACAGCCCATTGACTGTCAGAGACATGACCAAAACCCTGCGACGCCCCTTCTGGTCAGCCAAGTAACCCCACATGTAGCCACCCACCATCATTCCTGGAAAACAGGAAAAAAAGATGAACTTGGTATAATCAGTGGGCTCAGTCAGTTGCCCAAAACACTGAGTTACAGTGAGGGAAAAAAGTATTTGGACAATGACAGCTTTGCTCCGTATACAGTGGACTGTAAATCTGACAATCAACATGTGAATTAGGCGCAGATTTTCAGCTTTAATTGAAGGGATTTAATAAAATTATTACATTAAAGTGATTTTATTGATAGTTCAACATTTTCAGAGGTTGATAAAATGGTCGTATATTCAGTTATGGCTCCAGTTTTATAAGAAAGGGTTACAAAATAAGCAGAGAGCAGAGGCTAATAATGTCTTGTGTGTTTGGCTTGTGTAAGGTCTTGTGGTGTTACGTCACATAAATCAATCAACTTAAAAAAAAAAAAGCTTCTCATTTCCAAGTTCCGCTTTAAACAGCTGACCTATTTACCAAAAAAACAGTTGTTTCATTTTCTGTGAAGGGGAGTTTAAGGTGGTTGACTAAATGATTCACCGAGGAAAATGCTTGCTGTCAGCAGGCCCATGTCTGAGGATTTCAGCTCGAGATCACAGCGTGCCGTTGGCAGCAGAAAAGAAACACAAAGAATCTCCACAGCATCGCTGGCATTGGCCCAACCACAAACCACCAGCAGCAGCCAATGGAACAAACCAAAACCTGAGAGCAAAGTGAATAAACAAAGGGGAGAAGCAATTCATGATTGACTTGTTGCATAGCTTTGAAAATCTTAACTTTATGTCATAACCACAAACACCCAGGTTTTACACCTCTAAAGGTATAAAGTGTATACCTAAAATCTTAAATAAGCTTATTTTTCATATGCTTTTCTCCTCATATTTACGATGACTAAGTGAAAAACAAAAAACATTAGATTACCTGCTCTTTCCACTGCTTCCTCATACGTCAGTTTCTGCGGTACGTGCCCACCAGCTTCCGCTGTTCTGTCAAAAATGACTTCACCTATAAGGCAGCCAAATACACACTGTCAAATTCGGTTCTTTTAAATTCTTTCACCGACAGAGAAAGACCCCGATTCAGTGTGGTCAAAGCTCAAAAAATCATCTTTATTCTACATTTCCGGAAAAGGAGAGCTGCAGACTCTAGCAAGCATCCACAGGTCTAAAGCATCACAAGCCAAATGCGTATATATAGTTCTGCTATACGTCGCACACAGTCACACATAGTTGTGATCAAAACAACTCTGCAGTGCACTCTGCCTAGTTTCACTTTCTGTATATTTTTATATATTTTATTTATTGTTTACTCTATTTAATTTGTAAAATATGTGTACAAACACACACACACACACGTAGAAAAATATTTAGTATACACGTCCAGAAATGCATGCAAAGTTGTCCCTCTCTTAATTATATTTATTCCGTAACAACACAAACATGTATAAAGTTTTACTTTCATTGTACTAGCATAAATCGAGCCATAAACTTAACTTAATAAGACAAATAGGCTTGCCTGGGCCATGTAACTGGCTGATGAGGCTTTTTGCAGTTAGACCATTTCTTTCATTAAAACATATTAATGAAGTTACGACAGAGTTGTTGTTTCCATCTGTTTTATAATTTGATACATTTCTATGGTTGCAATGAAAATGTAATTAGCAATAACTGGCAAGTAACTAACTGTTATAATAATTATCTGGCTACAAAATATCACAAAATAATGAAAAATCATTAAAAAAAACCAACAACATCACAATTTAGTCCAAAGTGGGAATGAAAGTTTCATAGTAGGATGACATTTTTTAGAGTGATACCAAAGTATAACCAAATTTCTGTAACGTTTATTATGTGTAGATATTTATGAGTCAATACTAAGATAAGACAGTGCAGTTTAAAAATTGCTTGTTTGCTTGGATCAGCTGGTTGTGTTCTTTGCAAGGAAGTTGCAGAGTGCCCTCTAGTGGGCAAACAATGGAAAATCAAAATACGTAACTCTGTTGAAGGGTGTTTCTCCTGTCTCTTCGTTACTTTTTTATTTTCACATTAGCTGTTGCAGCTTTGATATATGGTCAAATAGCTAACATTCGCTGATACACTGACGAAGCCAAAAACAATTTTTACAGAATATTACGCAGAAAACGAGGCTCTCAACACTCTCTGCAGCACATGCAGCAAAGTCGCATTTGTGGAAAATAATTAAAGTTAAATGTAATTGGATTATGAAATGTATTGTAGTAATTTTAAATTTAAAAAAATCCCCCATCCTTTTTTTCTGTTGTAAGAATATTAGCATATATATCAATATGAGCATTTTTTACTTCTTAAAAATCAATACATCAACTGTTAGTCATCCATTACTTATCAGGCACAGATTTGTTTACCGCTTTAAATATATGTTGAGGATTAAGAAGTAAAAGTACAGAGTAATCAGAGTATCAGAAATGGAAATTCTTTTCAGAGCCATTTCAAAGTAGTAACATCCTAAAAAAATATTTTAACATTTGATCTGAAAGAGAGCTTAAAACTACTTTTTCAGGCTTTACACTGCTACAAAAATATACTGGTCCAACTGTCCAAATTTTCTCTATTACTAGCATATTTACATTTTATACCACGTGAAATGTTCCTGAATTTACTCAGCAAATGAATTTATAGGAGTGTGTTAATACGCACGTGTTATCAAAGAGAAGGTATGATCTGTTTTAAACAAAAATGTAATTTGAATTAATTTCTTTTAAAGAATTTGTTAAACAAATTTCGTCACTTTTTAAATTATTCATTTTTGTCATCTTAGTATATTATTTTGTTTAATTCAATTAATTTTGAAACAAACAAACAAACAAACATGTAAAAGGTGGAGAAAGTAGTAAGTAAGTAATTTTTGAAGCTGCAAGTATTTTCAATTTAAATGGACTTTTACAAATAGCATGCTTTATTATGTATTCTAAAGATTTTTTGTTTTGTTAATATTTTCATAATTTTACATTGGCTGCACCATGTGCCCTGGAACATATACCATACACGTGGTGGTAAGCTAGAGCTGACCTAACCAGCCATAAAGATATATATACATATATATATATACATATGTACGTATGTATGTATGTATGTATGTATGTATGTATGTATGTATGTATGTATGTATGTATAATATAACAAATATTATTTTTTACATCTTTATAGGCCAGGTGACCAGGTGAATTGCAACCCAATATCAGTTTACAGTGTCAGTAAGGGTAAACCGAGTGGAAGCCTTAAAACATCAGAGAAATATACTTTTGAAAGGCTGATGAACGAGTGACAGATGGTTTCCTAAAACAAAACAAAAAAAGGAGTAGTAACTAGAGGACCCATGAGGGGGACCAATTCAGCTACACAACTTATTATAAAGACTTAAAGCATTAAAAAAAAAAGTCTAAATAAAAAAATAGGTGTAAAATATTAGTAAGCTTATACAGCAATAATAACGTTTTTTTAAAAAAACAACTATATTAGGTAACTGAATTTGAACAAAATAAGAAGAGATGCCACTTACTTTTGTAAAAAATAAAATAAAATGACAATAATAAATAATTCTGACACATATTCTACTTTGTGTGTGTGTGTGGTGTGTTTGTGTGTGTGTGTGGGGGGGGGGGGGGGGTTTATGAGGAATGACCTCTTTATGGATCTTCGTATGCAAGTGAACAAACTGTCTGCCTTTACCTTCATCCGAGTCCAGCTCCCTTACGTCCAGGCGATGTCCCGTGAGAAGCGGCTGGCGTGCCTCCGGATCTCCGGCATGCTTATGACGGGACATCTCCAGAGAAGTCGGGTGTCTCTAATCTGGGCACTTAAGATCTGGGTAGATTAGCTAACTTCTCTCCAGATCCGTCAAATCTCCGAGCGAGGTGTCCGATCCTATGACTGCCAAGTCTACAGGCTACAGCTAACACTGAAGCTAACCTGATAAGAAGTAGGAGGAGTAGGACCAGGAAGTGAAAAGACAGCGGCGGGTTTGCACGTCCTGAGCAGTGTCTGTTCTCCACTAGTCAGCCCAGTTTAGGTGTACACCCCCGTCCGGCCGAGGTAAACCACAGTGAGAAACGGCGAAGGTAACGTTAGCTGCTAACCGAAGGAGACACGTCTGTGTGACAGAGAGTAGAGGGGAGAGTTGACGTTACCTCCCCTTGTGTTTTCAAAGAGAGTGAAGATGGCGACCAGCTCGGAGCGCAGTCCTCCCCCATTCCCGGACTCCGAGGACCAAGATGTGCTGGACGCTGAAGAAGTCCGAGGCCGCGACAGTGATGAAGACGAGGACCTCTTCGGGAGTACGGTATGTACTGGTGGAGTCGACCTAGCTGTTAGCGGTCAGGTCTGGATAACTCGTTAACTTAATGCAGAGTTAGCTAGGAAAGCTAATGAGGCAAAAGTTTTAGGAGATGTTGGCCGTTAACGTTAAGCAGTTGCACAGGGGGAAAAATAACAAACAATGTTGACATAAGATATTGTCATCTCCAAAACTCTTAGTATTTCCTAATGTTTCGAAGCATTTGTTGTAGAAACTTCTTACTACCTGCCTACGAGCTTTAGGAGTTCTGCAAACGCCCTCGCTGGTATTGATTTCACCCTGAAAGTTGCTCTTTGAAGTTCTCCCTCGCAGTGATTCAGTTAACCAAACCAGGTAACGCCGTACTTCCTGTTTTGGTGCATGGAATGTGTGAGCTCTTTTCATCTTCTAAAACTTTCTCGAGCTAACTTTTAAATCTGAAGGTGTCCTCAGCATTTTTTTTTTGACGTGCAGACTTTTCACGCCATGCGTAGGTGAGGTGAAATCTGCAGACAGTGAGGTCTGTGTGTGGTTTCTGTGAGAGCTGACACAGTAAGGAGGTGATAGTGTTATTTCACGATGCTTATTAGTGGGTTAAGTCAGCTTCCCCATTTTATTTACGTATTTCTCCCCATAAAATAAGGATTGTACGCTGGCTCGGGCAGCCTCCTGTCATGTGAGCGTGGTGTGGTCACATGGTCAGAACCCGGATGTTTTCCTACAGTCAAAGTTCAGAGGATACATGAGAAAGTTGCTGTCTGCGATTTTTTTTTCTCCCAACACTGAACTCGCTGCTGCACAGAAACCCTAAGTCAGCATTTTATGGATGTTTTAGGTGTCAGAGCTCATGCCTGAAATGATGTTTGGAAATGTATCAGCAACCAGAGTGACTTGACTTCCTATAAAAAGAAGTTTCGGGGATGTATTACTATTTTTTTTAAGCATTTTTTGTCTAAAGAGTATAATTCGCATTTTTAATTTTTAATAAGGGGCGACAGATATACAGATAAAATGGAAATATTTTTGGGACCACTAAATACAGTTATTAGTCATCGTACATTAATTTTCCACTAGTACTGAAAAAATGTAATACTGGCAGTTTCCCTGTATGTCACATAATAATAATAATAATAATAATAAATAGTAATGTGGAGTGGTAGGTTATCAGATAAATGCTAGCATTCTTGCTTGACAGGCTTATTTCTTAAACTGTATAGGTATGCAGATATTATAGACTGTATATAAAAGATGGAAACAGCCAATACAACAACATTCATTATTTAGCAAAACTCTATTATAAAACCTTGAGCTGAGAATTTTCTTTCTTGGCAATAAACATAGTTCATCGCGTTCCTAAATTGGATTTGATGAACCAGGTGTTCATCTGACTTTAAAATGAAAGAAACTACACAGTCATTTGCTATTGACACATCGATAGCAAATGGGCATAGCTTTTTTGACTCCATTGATGACCATTACTTACAAAAATATCCTGCATGTTTTAGTCAGTATGACCTGAAACCATCAAGCCCATTAAGTCATCAGAAAAAGTTTAATACAGCCAAGGTCACAGAGTAACGGATCCAAGAGTTGTTTTCACCTTCTGAATCAGCATCCTTTGAAGCAAGTCATTTAAGTTCATTAAGTCATTTTGTTTACTACCCTGTAAACAAAAACCTAAACACTGCAATCGCTGTTACATTAGACTGTTACATTAGTCTAACCCTAATGTAAAGGCTTATCTGATGAATGGTTTCTCAGGAGATTTGCTTTGTGTTCTTGGCAAAAACATATCAGTTAAATCTGTTTCTCAAGCATCATAAAATGTTCCCTGCAGCTTTTTACAGTGACAAAGTCCTTGTTTTTTTATTTTGAAAACATTGTTTCTGCTGTCAGTGACACACCCAGTAGCTGGGATGGACATTGGATGTTTAGATGTTACCCAATATCCAATTTGGCTACCTAGAGACCAGATTGTTTAATGTGAAGCTGTTGAGATCAAAGAAAAGAAAAGAAAAAAAAAGCCCCAAAGGTCTTTAAAATTTGAAACTTTGATCAACTTGTTGCATGAGTCTTGGATTACTTTAAGAATTGTCTGTTGTCTACACACACGTGACATGACAGCAATTGACATTAAGCATCCCCTTTTTGGCCTTCAGAGCACATCACCAGTGACCGAAATGGACACCACACCGACCAGTGATGTTTCAATGAAGCCTCCCAGTGACATCATGAATGATCCTTTAATCGAGCCAATGAGCAGCCAAACAGGAAACAAGCCAGCGAGTGAACCCTCAGATGATTTTTTTGACCTGACAAACAATGTTAGCGTTGTAGCTGCAGCTGCAACAAAATCCGATGATTTCGTTGACATATTGGGAAGCGAAACTGGAGCTCAGAGAGGGGAAGTAGTAAAGGCAGATGTTACTGTTGAAGCAACAATTGATAGAAGTGAAGTAACTGCTGGCGTTACAGATCCACTCAGTCAGCAGGAAGCAAAACAAACGTCCACCACTCCAGTTATCGACCTCAGTGGTGACTCACAGCCTGTTACTAGCAAAATTGCTGACCCTTTGGTCGACCTCTTTAGCGATGCTCCACCAGCTGCTGAAGCCAAAAAACCCAGCAGCGCAAACATTGATCTCTTTGACGACGAGGAAGGGAGTGATATTTTTGCAGAACCGCTGCAGACCAAGCCTGCCAAGCAGCCGCAGAAAAGCCTCTTCGGTGAACCTGACGAGGATGTGTTTGGCGAGCCGCTGGGTGCCATCTCAAAGAAACCCGTCCCTAAAGAGCTGAAGGAGAAATCTGTCACAACCAAAGTTACTGCTGGGGGACCGCTGCAAGACAGTAAGCCAGCTGATATCTTCAGTCAGGCAGCTGCCTCCACACCCAGCGTCACCAGCACCGTCAACCCCAAGACCAATGGAGTCCACTCTGAGGAGGACGGTGATATATTTGCTGGTGGGTCCACCTTATTTTATTCTATTTTTTATTCTCATTCGGTTTATGTTACCAAAGTTTTAAGCCTAGAGTTGGTCTTTATACTAAAGTCATGATTCAAGACAGGTTCAGTGAAGTTCATATAGAGGTTTGTGCATAATCACATCTGTATAGAAGATAAAATGAGCTCTAGGCTGGAAAAATGTTGATGAACGCCTCCTAAAGTTGAAACAACAGCATGGAAAGTAACGTTTGCTTCATTGTAAATAACTGTTTTGCCAGCATTGAGTTTGAAACTTTGTACTGGGCTGTGCCGGTTATGGGAGAGTGGCTCAGATTACTTATAAAAAAACCTTTGAGTAGTAGGCCTCTTAAAAGTCAAGTACAGCAATGTTTAACTAGAAGCAGCTATCGTGATTTTCTGTGCATCATGCTGTTACTACATGGCTGACACCAAAGCCAGGATGAGGACACCTCAATTAAGAACATGGGACCATCTGAATGCAAAGTTCAGTTAAATCCACAGGTTTAACATAACCCTCGGTGTATATTTGTGTCAGACACCTGAGATGGCAAACACAAGTTTCAGTCTGGTGTAAATAAGTGATTAAGAAACCAACACAGATGGTCCTGTTGAGGCATGACAGAAGCAGCTCCAGTTTGTGCTCCAGATCACCACACATGGAACAGAACTCAGAATCTCTGTAAATACTTAAAGGTAGACTTTGGTAACTGTGGTAAAAGCAGCTCCACTGTACTAGGGAAATAATGGATATCTTACTGCACGTTTCCCCTCTAGCAGAGGCCACGGTGGAGCTCTCTCTCGACAGTCCGAGGAATGAGAGAAAAAAGGAGGCGACGGCCAAGCCATCTGCTCCCGCCCCCACCTCTCTGCCAGCAGCTGCCAGCCTCGCCAAGCCACAGCCTCCTGCCCTGGAAGAGGTGAGCTCAGATTTAAACCCAGACAAAGATTTTCGAGTGTGAGCCCATGAAATAGTTTCCAAGTATTTAATAAATATACACACCAGTTTATTTTATCCTTTATTTATTCAGCTAAATGTCTCGTTGAGATTTATATATTGAAACAAAACAGCCCATGGAAAGTCTGAGGACATACAGAGATGCACACTTATTCACAGGAAACAGGAAACAGTGGTGTATTCAGCTTCTGAAGCCAGTAATAAAATATAAAGCACAGTGGCAGAGAGTGTCTAACATCTTTAGGTGCTGGTCAGGTGCATTCATATAGACTCTAATCCAGTAAAGATTCAAATAAAACATTTCCTCATCTGGAGGAAGAAACTGTTTTTATTTTTAATTTTTAAAAACATTTAAAGTTTCAATTTGGTTAGAAGCTGTTCATCTGATTGTTTTAAATTACAGATTTGGATCTATAGTTAACCTTGTTAAAACCTGTTGCTTTTAACAAGATTAAATGTTAACTCTCTGCCCAAACATCAGAATGAGAAAACTGGGGCAGCACCAGGTTCTTTCCAACTGCAGTTTAACCTGTTTAACATCCCACCACAACAAAATGTGGTGGGAGAAGCTGACTGTTCAGCCATGGTTTTCATGTCATGTTTCACTTTCATGCTCAAAATTTGTTTCAGTTGGAAGAGGAGGAAGAGGAAGAGGAGGAAGACAAATTTGACATCTTTGTCTCTGTCAAAGATCCAGAAAAAATAGGTGAGGCTTTTATTGTTTTTTTGTATTGCTTAATGTAGCTTGCCTGATGTTTAAATATCAGTTCACTGAGTAATCTTTGTATGTATTTATACAGTCAGGGACATTTAATGATGTATGTATTGTTTTTTTCAGGGGATGGTATGAATGCCTACATGGCCTACAAAGTATCCACACAGGTAAAAATGTGTCATTATTCATCGTTTTACTTGAAGTTGGTTAAAGTTGACCAAAGATGAAATATTGATGAGTGCCTTGTTGGAGACACACCCGTGCTCTGCTCTTAGAGGGAAAACAAAGGTTGCAACACACGTTTAGTGGAGTATTGGAGCAAACACGAGCCTGCTGGGTACATAAATTCCATTAATCTGTGTTTCAGACCACACTGCCCATGTTTCGCAACAAGACATTCACAGTGAGGCGACGCTTCAGCGACTTCCTCGGACTTTATGAGAAGCTCTCTGAAAAACATGGACCAAATGGATTCATTGTGCCTCCACCACCAGAGAAGAGCCTCCTGGGTAGGCTGACGCACTCATCACATCTCACGCTTTCCTTAGAATTATAATGTAAAATCTGCTCTCAATCACAAGTGGTGATGGTCGTTATCTTGTGTAGGGATGACAAAGGTGAAAGTGGGGAAGGAAGATTCATCGTCTACAGACTTTGTTGAGAGAAGAAGAGGTGCTCTGGAAAGGTAAAAGAGAAAGAATGGCATGAGGTGCCAGTTAGCGCGGCTAACACAGAGTCCCAACCCTTGTACCTTTCATTTCATTCATTCATTCATTCATTCATTCATTCATTCATTCATTCATTCATTCATTCATTCATTCATTTATTTATTTATTTATTTATTTATTTATTTATTTATTTCACACTTGGTACAACAGATCAAACAAACCAACCACACTTTCTATCAACAAAGCACTACAACCATGTGTGAAAAGGAGCAGGAAGAAGAAAATATTCTTATTAAACCCTGCCCCCTTCCCTGTACAGGAAGCATGATGTGACAAGAATATAATTAATGCAAAAGCATCACCACCACTTCCCCGTTGATGCTCTCGTGCTATTCTGATGTGGCAATTTCCAGACTACTCGTGAAAATCAAGCGTGTCCCTGTTGTCTGATTGAACAGGTATCTGCAGCGGGTGGTAAATCACCCGTCGCTGCTCCAAGACCCCGATGTCAGAGAGTTCCTGGAGAGAGAGGAAGTAAGAGGATTTTGTTTGGTTTCAGCTCGAGTTACTGCACTGAAGAGGTGTAATGCAGTTTTGTTTCACTTCTCTGTTTTTGTAGTGGATGAATGGTGTATTTGTAGTTAGAAACATTACTTTCATCACACTAGTGTGCTTTACCTAAGCATTAGTGTAAGGGTGTGCAGACAATGGAGGAAGATGGAGTTGCAGTAAAATATTGAAAACGTTCATATCGCAGTTTTAGAATCATCACAGCTAACACAACTAATGCATCTGCAGTTGCCTCGAGCAGTGAGCACTCAGGCTCTGAGCGGCGCCGGCTTCTTAAAGATGATCAATAAAGCGACGGACGCTGTCAGCAAGATGACCATCAAGATGAACGAGTCAGACGTGGTAAGTTCAGCTGTAAACGCGCGCTCATGTTCTTCTCTGCGTTTTTCAGTCTTTATACTAAAGCAGAGACTTTTGGTGGAACTTTTGGGCATAAACAAAGCTGCAGTTTCATGGTTTGATTTTTGACAGTTATGGGATTTATCTTTGGTAATGATGCTTGTAGTGCCGTAGAGCTCACAGCCCTTGCAGCTAGTGTTGGAGTCGTACTAATGGTGCGTTGTGCTGCAGTGGTTCGAGGAGAAGCTGCAGGAGGTGGAATCTGCAGACCAGCAATTCAGGAAGCTCCACGCGCTTGTCGAATCCTTGGTGGTTCACAGGAAAGGTCCGTTGTCTTTTTTCCCCATCTGTAAAGTGACTCATCAGTTATCATTCGGATGTGTTTGTACAGTTTTTGGCCACTTGGGGGCAACAGAGTGAAATGTGTTCAGATGTTAAACATTGTTAATTATAACACTTTTTAATTACTATTCCTCCTCTAATAAAAGCTTTTATAAAGATTTGAATGATGCCACCTAACATAAAATGTGTGAATGCACCTTTTAGCCCATAATTGCTGCTTTCATTTCTTGTATATGTTCTCGTATTCAAGTTTGTGTGAAGAACACTTGTCTTTGCATTGAAATCTAGAGCTGTCACTGAACACGGCGAGCTTCGCCAAAAGTGCGGCCATGCTGGGCAGCGCAGAGGACAACACCGCCCTGTCCCGCGCCCTCTCCCAGCTGGCCGAGGTGGAGGACAAGATGGAGCAGCTACACCAGGAACAAGCTGCAAGCGACACCTTCACCTTTGCTGAAATGATTGCAGATTACATCCGTCTGCTGGGTGCTGTGAGGGTACGGAGAGAATTTGTTTAGCTAGTTTCTGTAGATCACAGCTGTTTAAGTTTTGTTTTGCTTTTTTAAGTGGGGTTTTTTCCCCATAGGAAGTGAAATGTCCAATATTGTTCAATATTAAAAAGCACGTAGATGAAGGTAAAAAGATGTGAGTTTTGTGACCTGCAGGGGTCCTTTGATCACCGGATGAAGGCGTGGCAGCGCTGGCAGGATGCTCAGTCCATGCTGCAGAAGAAGAGGGAGACTGAGGCCAAACTCCTGTGGGCCAACAAGCCCGATAAGCTGCAGCTGGCCAAGGAGGAGATCGCTGAGGTACGACATGGGCCAAAAACAACAAAGTAAAAATAGCTCGGATGTGGCTGAAACCCTCGTTTGATGGGGCCTCTTCAAGTTTAGGAACAACGTTGTAGTAACTTTAATTTTTCTGATCCTTGGTTCATTCTTAGCTTGACGTTAATCACTCCATAGCTTTTGCTGCACGATCTCTGTATGTGAAGCACTGTATTTGGTTTAAGACTCCTCTGTGATTTTTATCTTTGGAAACAGTGGGAGGCCAAAGTGACGCAGTACGAGCGAGACTTTGAAAGAGTGTCTGCAACTGTTCGCAAGGAAGTCATTCGCTTTGAGGTACCAGTGTTCATTCTTATTGGTATCCACATCAGTAACTGCTCAGACAGCTGAACGGGCTGAGAGTGATAAATCCTTCTGAAAAATCTCTCCTAACAGAGAGAAAAGACCAAGAATTGCAAAAGACAGGTTATCACATATTTGGAGTGTCTGCTTCAATCTCAGCAACAGGTGAGTGAGTCAGCATTTTCATATTCATAAACCTGTAAGTACTGCACTGGATTTAGGTCAGTTTTTAACTGTTGAGCATCACAGATAATCTACAGAAGTTGACAATTTCAAAAGTAAATCATACACAAGGTAATAAGTAAGGTAAGACGACAGGAACAAGGCTTTACATACTTTTTTATATAAAAATTAAATAAAGCAGTTAAAGAATATTCAAGTTTCTGTGTGGACCAAAACTCCCAAATTCAAAATAAGTAAACAACTCGTTAAATCTGCAAACATTTTTATTTTGTATTTAACTTTTGCACTTTTCACTCTAGTTCCCTAAATGGTATTTTCTTTACTATTCTTTATGCATGTGCTTCATGCTTTTTCATTATTGCAGTGAGGCTCTGGTTACTATGTAAAGTAGTTTGTTAGAAAACTGAGGCTAATCCAGCTTAGACTAATAGACAAAGTCATGAAAACTTTTATCAAATAAAAGTCTGAGCAAAATATTCACAAATAAACAAATATTTACATTCACTTCAATGGTTAATGAATATTAGAAATTAATTTAACATGAATGTTAATGTAACACATCATTATCAAAATCATTTTTTAAAAGATATTTGTGATTTGTGATTCACTGAAATACATATTATGTAAATGTATTTGTGTGCTTACTTTGGATTGTAGGAGTTTTGATTATTTATATGAAAGAGCCCAAAGTAGCAACTTTAAATTGTTTCTTTGGTTCACAAAAGTGACCAAGTCATTTACTGGACCCAGCTGACTGCAGGTTTCCCAACCTTATAAACAGTACCTTTGCACAATGACTGAAACTAGAGGGGGCTCGTTTCAATCATTATGCAAATGTACTGTTTATGAGGTTGGGAAACCTGCAGTCAGCTGAGACTGAAGAAGTAACTTGGATGAGTGATGAAACATTTCTCCCACTGAAAACGCTGCGTCCAGATGAACAGAATCAACCTTTTGGGATTTCCATCCTGGATGATTGAGCATGCATCAAGTCATTTACTAGACAGTTTTTGAGATATAATAGGCTACATTTTTTTGTGATGTTTTACTTTTCAAAATTCTCAATTAATTTGGCGTCTAAAGACTCCTGTTTTTTCTTTGTTTTTGTTGTTGGTTTTTCCTCTCTCTCCAGCTGATAAAGTACTGGGAGGCGTTCTTACCAGAAGCAAAAGCAATCGCCTAATCCTCAAACACCAGCCCTCTGGACTACAACAGGCTGCCTTTTTCTCATACACTTTACCTCTTTTGCCTTTTAACCAAGGAAAATGTGTGTATTGTAAAGGGAGATACAATCAATTCTGTTTTTGTTTTTTTAAATCACCTTTAACACATAGCTCTGTATTCTATTGTATTAATAATTGTATATTTTCATTTAACCTTCCACAAATATTTTCTTAATAGATGAAAATAGATTGCATAAACAAAGATACGGACAAATGAAAAGAGGGGAAAAAAGAAGTGTGGATGAACGATTCCATTAATTTCCACAGGAGAATCATTCGTTCTCAGGATTTCCTCCCTTGTGTTGATCAGGAGCTCTTTCACATCAGCTGTGGTTCACTGTTTACAGCCTGGCTGCTCTCTCATCACATATTTCTGGGGACCCAGATGAAGAAAGTGGCTAAATTCTCACTGTTTCTTATTGGTGACTGAAAGGGATTAAATAAGTTACAAATTTGATTTATGAACGATTCCAGCAGGTGGATAAATTAAGTACCATCCATGTTTTTCTTGCTTTCTTTCTAATTTGAAGTACTATGATGCTGAGGGGTGCAGGGTGATGCGCGGCATTAGATTAGCAGTTGTGGTCAAGGGCTTTGTCGCGTGCTGAGGTTGTGGGGTTAACGATTTCAAATTTCTTTCAGTAAGTGTGCAAACTTTATGTCGGTGCCTTTATAAAAGCGAGAATGGTGTTTTGGCTTAAGACACCAGTTTAGGAGGAAGTCGTAGAGGGAGCTGTGAGCTTGTCATCTCAACGCTGATGTTTAAGAACTGCGATTGCGCCCCATTTACTACCAAATAAAAATGGTTTTAATGTTTTCAGTCTGCCTTGCATATGAACCTGCAGAGACATGAACTGGATAATCTAGTCCCTAAAGATCATGTCAGACTCTGTCTAGTTGCGTCATGTTGGACACTTTAAGGCAAGCAAACACAGTTTAGAGGAAATAAATGCTGATTGTGATTAACCAACTCGAGCAAGTCTAAGCAAGCAGTTTCATGCTGTGTCAGATGACACCCAGAAGCTTTCTGGATGGTAGGATTCAACTTTGAGGTGGTGTAAATAGAGCTGTAACTCACAGCAGTCTTACTTGTGGATTAGTCCCAAGGTGTAGTCCTGTTTTCGTCTGACAGTCCAAACTAGCCCTTTGTTATTCACTTCTAGTAGCACCGGAGGGCAATAGTTCTTGGTTGCGTATGCATGTTCTCAAACACAGTGCAAAGTCCTCTCTATCCCATAATGTGTACTGTTGGCTCCCTTTGTTATGAAAAAACAGAAGGAAAAAAAGTCCAGTGATTGGACATGTGAGAGTGGTATGTCTGCTAACAAGTGCAGCACTGTGGGCACAAATTAAAGGGTGACTACTGCTGAGTCCCACATCACTACTGTTCACTCATTTATTACTTCTGATGAACATCCAGCAGTTTACTGGATATTTTCACTCTAATTTTATGAATTTTTACAAAATAATGGACACGTTCAGGGCACTTATTCTAAATTTGGCCACACAAATAAAACGGTGTACAGTTGGTGAAGCGCACTAAGGGGAGTCACTTTTGAACACAGACTGTATAGAAAAGATGGATGTAACCTTGTGAGCTTAAAAATGTGCTGTTGAAAGTGTTTTAATCTGCCATTCTTTCTACTGGCCAGCAGGGGGCACCACCTTTGGTTGTAAAAAGTAATTAGATTGCACAGAAGTGTATAAGAAAATGCACTCAATCATTTTTTTACATTGGCAAATACTTCACAATTGGTTTATTATCTTATTTACGAAAACCTTTTGGTAATTTTGACTCTACAGTTTGATTGTTCTAAGTCAGATTTACCTTTCATTTGTGCAGAAGTTTTGGCTTCACATGGACGTCCATTTTTTTTTTTTTTTATCCAGTTTGTTTATGCAGCCTTTGTCAGTGTTTTATGGCATTCATCGCTTGTGATCAAAAAAATCCAAGATGAAGTTTTCTTTGAAGCAGTGAATGTAAACACCCGTTTGTTCACATAAAGTAGCCACACAGTTCCTTTAATTTCAAAGGACATACACCAGACAAAACCCAGAGGAGGTACCACCAGATGTTTGACGTTTTCACTTGCTGATTGGCGTAAAGACACAAAATGCTGTCCGCGATTTATCAGAAAGGAGGCAACGAGATGTCCTGCAAGAGCCGAACTGGACTACTCGGGGCTGGATGGACGACGCTGATTGGCAAACAAAAGATTAATGGCTTCAGTACGCACGCTGACGGTGGAGTGTATTCTTTCTTAGTCTCTTCGTGTATTTTTAACAAACCTGCGTCACAGCTTTACGTGGCAGGACTGCCATCCCTTTTGATTACAGCTTTAATGTCACATTTGCACTCATGTAAAAACTGAAGGTGTGCAGCGACTGCGCTTCACTGTATCCTTCGTCGTCATTACGGCTTTCTTTTAACTTGCAGACATTTCTTTGCCGGTTAGATAAATAACTATTTTTGCTTTTATTTTTACATCATTGAATAAAAACAAGGTTGTTGGTGTGTGGTTAAAGGTGCAGAGCAATGTCAGCAATATGCACTGTGTCATAGAAACTTAATTCAAATCAATAAAAGTTGCACTGTTTACACTTGGAAATTTCATAAAGAATAACGACTCAAGTGTGTAATTTTTTTTCTCCGACGTGCCGATTTACTGTGACGTCATTTTAATATAACTTTGAGAAGTAGCTGCCTCAACAGGTGTGAAATGGAATAAACAGCTAGTCCATGCAGAGATTTGGATCTAGAAAACAAACTTACACTGTTTTTATAAGAACTACACTAATTTATTCTATACTAGGTAAGGCAAGGTTAGGTCTTTTTTTTTTTTTTTTAGCGAGTTTTAAATGAGATTTGTTTTACTGATTTCATACATGCAGTTTTTATGCCTTGGTGATCACTAATATTAATTTTACACAAATGAAAAAGTTAAGTTCCAAAGAATGATGAACATCTCACTGCAGAGTAGTCAAACATGGTGAAGTTTTAATTACACTGCTCAAAAAAAAAAAAATTAAGGGAACACTTGATCAATACATTACAACACAAAGTCAGGCAAACTTTACGATTATCAGTCACTTCTGTTAGGGAGCAAAGACCAACAGGTTCATTGGAGAGATGACAAAACACAGGTTGGAGGTCTCCTGATTGACTTTTCTCTAATTTTGCTTTTTGTTGGTGGCCTATCAGACGGTACCTGCGGCCCATTCAGGTTGCACAGGTAGTCCAGCTCCTCCAGCATGTCACATCTAAACGTTCCAATGCTAGAAAGTTTGCTCTCCCAGCACAGTCAAGAGTGTGGAGGAGATACCAGGAGAGTTACTCTACGAGAGCTGGACAGGGTTGTAGAAGGTCCTTGATACAAGATCAGGGCCGCTATCTGCTCCTTTATGCAAGGAGGAACAGGACAAGCGCTGCCAGAGCCCCAAAACAAATGACCCCCATCAGACTACTCAGGTGTCCCAACTGTCAGACTCCATGAGGATGGCTTTAGTGGGACCAGTACTCTCTGCCCAGCAATGCGTAGCTTGACTGGGATTCAACAAAAAACACCAGAAACAGGAAGTTTCTGGCACCTTATTCTCTTTGCAGATGACAGCAAGCTTCATCCTGAGCACACGTGACAGAGTCTGGAGAAGCTGTGCCTACACCATCATCCAGCATGACTGGTCTGACAGCAGGTCAGTGATTGTCAGGGAAAGTTTATCCCTGGAGAGTTGCACAGGCCTCCATGTTTCAGCCAACAATACCCTGACTGAGTGTGTGATGTAAGTGTTCCCCTAATTCTTTTCTGAAAAGCTCATTTTTACTAAGCAGCGTCTCCTTCATTATAAGGCCCAGATATGTTTTGCAGCACCTTTTTTTGACCAAAAACTGTTTATAAATCACTGTCTTCACTGTAAAAGTCACTCTAAGGAGATTCAACACAGTTCTTTAAATTAAGCTTCGGGCTCTGGCCAGCAGTCATTTCGCTTAGCTTAGCAGCAAGAGTGGAAACAGAGCGAAGAGCTTACCTGGTAATGCTGAAAGAGTGTTTTAATTAACCTTTAATGTGATGCCGAGCACTGTCAGTTGTAATACAAGCCATCTTTATGAAGGGAAAAGACCAGTAACAGCAAAAAGAAGAAATGTCACATTTTTCCACAATTAAAAGTGAGGCAAGTGTACTTTCTGCAACAGGTTTGATTAGCAAAATCTTAACAGCACTGAAAACAGGGAAGTGACATCAATTCTGCAAATTTCTGAAATTCATAAAATTCAACTTGGATGGTTTTTGTTGTTGTTTGGGGGGTGAAAGAGCAGTACTACGCTCTAAAAACAAAGTATTCATGCCATCGTACCTACCACCATCTCAGCCTTTGGCCAAATTCTTCTTCTCTTTTTTTTTAAGTTAAATGAAGGAGGATCAATTTCTTCTTGGCTCATCTCCGTGTCGAAAGAAAAGTCCTTTCAGCATGATAAAACACCAAAAACTATGTTCAGCAGTTAGTCTAGGATACAATCTCCTTACTGAGTGACAGTCACCATTTTTCTCAAGCCTGGATGATCTTCTGAGGAGAAAGGGTGCCCTTTTAAATGCTGAAACAGCTGTGTGTAGTGATTTAGAAGCTGCGGGGGTCTTAAAACTGACGTTCCGCTAAAGTCTGGAGACGCTAATCCAGCTCTGTGAGCTTTTCTCGTCCATGATGAAGACATTAAATGCCAAGGGGCTGCAGTTCTTTCAGAGCAAAGTCCGAGCAACGTATCTGAGGAGCCCTCCGTGTTGGAACAAGATAACGTCCGTGTCGCTGTCAAACAGGCCGGTGACGGAGAAGGACTTTCCTTGGCTGGTCTGCAACAGAAAACACAAAACACACGTTTCACTTCACTCAGCAAGGAGACCCGAACATGACTAGTAAACTGCAGAGAGGGACTAATTTGTGGACAAACACATAAAGTGAGACTAAGAATTAAAATAACTAATCAGGATTTTAGCACATTTGTCACTGACATGTTTCATCATTTAGTTTAGAGCTTAAAAATAACTTTAGCTTTGCAGAGGCTAAAATGCAGCAAGTGTTGCATACCTTGACGGTAAGCTCCTGCCCTGGACTCAGGCTCTCCGGCAGGGTGATGCTGAATCTTTCCTTGCCACTGAGCTCCAGTGAGTCAGCGTTCTGGCCTGACAGGAACTGGAGCGGCATGATCCCCATTCCTACCAGCTGGTTCCTGTGCAGCTTCTCAAAGCTTTCAGCAATCACCGCACGCACCCCCTGCAACCACAACAAAAGCAAGGAAGTAGAAACACAGTGGAACACAGTTTGCTGAACATGTACGGCCATTTCCAAATTCCACAGTGGGTCAACCTACTGTAGTGTAAACTCTGCTAAATTACAACTATAAAAACTGCAGCTTGTTTACCAGCAGGTACGGTCCTTTGGCCACCCAGTCCCTGGAGTTTCCAGAGCCGTAATCTTTGCCTGCCAGGATGATGAGGGGAATGCCGTCTCTCTGATAGCGATCAGCTGCCTCGAAGACATCCAGCTGAGCAGACACAGGAAGAGAGAGCAGTTATCTTTAGCTGCTCTGACACAGCAGAAACAACACAGTACCGAGTCTGGCTTGAGCCTGCAGCAATCAGCAGTGCTAGACACACAGATGCAGCCACCCAAAGGTCACAGACCCGCCCCGGGTAACAGCCAGCTCATGCAGCACGAGTGAGTACATCAGCAAAACCAAAACAGCCCAATATTTGTCAAAAGTTAAAAGGAAACCATTGAGGTTGTGTTGCACTTACTGTCTGGCCTGATGGAATGTGCAAAGTCTTCGGGCCTGGCTTTCCGATGAATCGGTTTTGGAGCTTGATGCTGGCAAACGTGCCTCTGGTCATCACGGCGTCATTCCCTCTGCGAGCGCCATATGAATTAAATTCTCGCGGTGTCAGTCTGAGGAACAATTCCAAAGTCAACAATATTAGTCAATATCAGGTTAAAAGGGAGTTTTTCCTTCCTACTTTCGCCAACTGCTTGCTCAGAGGTTTGTCTTGATTGTTGGGGTTCTCTCTTTGTTACTGTAGAATCGTTTTCTTACAATAAAAAACATCTTGAGGTGACTGTTGCTGTGATTTTATGCTATAGAAATGAAATTGAAACGAGTTGAATTATCTTTCAATTTTCAAAGTGAAAAAGATCTCACCATAATGCAGGTTTACAAGACTTGCTTTTCTTGATAGATTTCATTTGATCGTCTCTGCAAACATTACTTTAAATTCGAAATGCTGGAGGTTCATAATGTATGAACTCTGCTGAAAGAAACCCTGGATTTCCCTCCATACTCCTATGGTTGATTCAATAATGGTGACGGCTCGCCAGCTGAGCTGATTTTTAATTCATTTCCTCACTGATGCATTAAACTGTTATTATCACCAGACCAATAAATCAAATCTGCCTCACTATAGTTTCATTTTGCATCTCCACACAGTTAGGTGAGAAATAAACTTGTGTTTTACGTTTGTGTGTTATGGAGGATGGATAGTGCTAACACAAACAGATGCACGCTAACCTCCTCTGCTGCTCTGTGATGCAGCAATGCCACGAGTCGTGGATGATGTCACAGGGGGACGATCAGACCATGAAGCAGATAACTTAACTACAAATCCCTTTGCACCACTTATTCCTTTGGATTTTAAATATGTGCTGAAATGTTCTCATTTAGAGCGTCAAACATTTAAACCCAAGTTTTAACCATTGCCATCATCTTTGAAAACCTGACGTTGGTTGATTACAAAGCTGTCCAACTGAAGCTGCCTTGAAAGATTTAAGTGTATGTGTCCACAAGGGCTGAAGGCTGAAACTGACCGTTTGCTCATTAGGTACTTGGCAGCAGCGCTGACCCTTGCAATGCTGCCCGCTGGTGAAATGTGGTCCGTGGTCACTTTGTCCCCAAGGAACAGTAAGGCATGTGCGTTTTCTATTGACTGAGGAGGAGGCACCTCTTTACTCTGAAAACGGAAGCATTCAAACATTTAACACTAGGGAAGTAAAAACATCTCCTCTAAGGTCCACACACAGTCAAAGGATGTGCAGCACAGAGCGCTCACCAGCTTGCTGAAGAAAGACGGTGATCGGATATATGTGGACTTGTGATCCCAGGGGAAAAGAAGAGAGTCTGAACATTCAACATTTTTCCAAAATGTGTTCCCTTTCTGAAAGACAGAAAGAAATCACATTAAAAAAAGAAAAAGCAAAGAGTGTTTTCCAGTCATCCGTGTCACGCTTTTAGCAATTCAGGATCAATCAGTTTCCACACTCTCTCTCTCAGATCGAAAACACAAGGAAATGTTCTACTTCAGATCTGTTCAAACTACTGAATAAAAGCATTTTTTTAGGTGCATTGTTTCCAAATGTGCAGACAGACAGAAGGAGCACCGTACTGCTGCTCATGCTGTGCAGCAACTGCATTAGAAGTTGAAGAAAAGTAATAAAGCTCATATCCTGACCTCCATCCTTCCCCTTAGATCCTTAAAGATGGAGGAGAATACTGTGTCCTCTTCAATCTGTTGGACCTCCTCTCTGGACGGCCAGATATCTCGCAGATACACCTCTTTCCCATCGGATGTCAAACCTACTC